CACGCCTGACTTTTTTTTTTTTTTTTTTTAAGTTGGAGTCTTGCTCTATCTCCCAGGCTGGAGGGCAGTGACACGATCTTGGCTCACTGCACCCTCCTCCTCCCAGGTTCAAGACATGCTCCTGCCTCAGCCTCCCTAGTAGTTGGGATTACAAACACCCACCAACACGCCCAGCTAATTTTTGTATTTTTAGTAGAGACAGTGTTTCACCATGTTGCCCAGGCTAGTCTTAAACTCCTGGGCTCAAGCAATCCACCTGCCTTAGCCTCCCAAAGTACTGGAATTACAGGCGTGAGCCACTGCGCTGGGCCTTCTGTCTTCTCTTGATGGACATTTAGGTGGTTTGGAATGTTTCATCACAATAAAATAGTACAGTAGTGAGCAAACACCCCCCACATAAATCATTTAACAATGAAGGCCTTTGTGCCATCGTGCCTGCTGGCCCTCTGGCTTGGGTGCCGTTTCTCTGCTTGACCTGGTACACTGCCCATCTTTGGAGGCTCCACACACACCACCCACTTGGCAAAGTCTTCTTTGCTGTGAGCCGCCAGTTGCTCTTTTCCCTCGGCTCCCAAGCCTCTCTACATGCCTGATGTAAACACTCATTACAGACAAATCATCTGCATAGCTCTGTACTCTGGACCGTGAGCCTGTCTGATGAGCCAGGGCTCATCACATGGTAGGTGCACCATAAACTGTTGAGTGGCAAGGTGGTTGCCAACCTCTCTCCTACCTTAGCTGTTTGTGATTCCAAAAGCCTAAAGTTCTGCTCTTTGGTCCCTGGCAGCTAAAGATGTGATTAAAGAGATTGAAGACTTTGACAGCTTGGAGGCTCTGCGTCTGGAAGGCAACACAGTGGGCGTGGAAGCAGCCAGGGTCATCGCCAAGGCCTTAGAGAAGAAGTCGGAGTTGAAGGTGAGCAGAGTGGGGCGAACAGGCCCAGGCTGGTTTGAACAAGCTTCTGTTCACACTTCCACAACCCCTGCCTGTGTCCAATCTCTTCCAGGCCCCTGCCTGTGTAGCTGTCCCCCAAGCAGCTCCTCTTCCTCTGGCCTCCCCAGAGCACACAGCGTTGGCTAGGGACCCTCTTCCTGTAGTCAGCAGACCCTGAGAGGGTGTTAGGGGTGCAGGAGGATTATTGGAGTGACACCTGTGAAAGATAAAGTAGGGAGAGCCTTTTGCTCACAATGTAGATATGTCACATATGAGGTTGGAAGGTTGCAGAAATAACCAGCAGGAGCCTCTGACTGTGAGGCTGCTCTGACCGACCCACCCTTTGGGAGTTTCAGAGCAAAGACTGCCCATGAAAGGAGTCTCATGTTGGGCAGAAGTGGCCAGGCCTCAGCTCAAATGCAGCAGCGATAGGAAGGTGCTGTAGCCGGAGACTGCCAGCTCCCTACACTCCTCGCAACAGAGGCAAGTTCTCTTTTTTTGATTTTTGAGACAGAGTCTCACTCTGTCACCCAGGCTGCAGTTCAGTGGTACCATCTCAGCTCACTGCAACCTCTGCCTCCTGGGTTCAAGCGATTCTCCTGCTTCAGCCTCCCAAGTAGCTGGGATTACAGGCTCCCACCAGGACTCCGGCTAATTTTTTTGTATTTTTTTTTTTTTTTTTTTGAGACGGAGTCTCGCTCTGTCACCCAGGCTGGAGTGCAGTGGCCGGATCTCAGCTCACTGCAAGCTCCGCCTCCCGGGTTCACGCCATTCTCCTGCCTCAGCCTCCCGAGTAGCTGGGACTACAGGCGCCTGCCACCTCGCCCGGCTAAGTTTTTGTATTTTTAGTAGAGACAGGGTTTCACTTTGTTGGCCAGGCTGGTCTCGAACTCCTGACCTTGTGATTTGTCCGTCTCGGCCTCCCAAAGTGCTGGGATTATAGGCGTGAGCCACTGCTCCGGCCTTTTTTTTTTTTTTGATATGGAGTCTCACACTGTCACCCGGGCTGGTGTGCAGTGGTGTAATCTCGGCTCGCTGCAACCTCCACCTCCCAGGTTCAAGTGATTCTCCTGCCTCAGCCTGCCAAGTAGCTAGGATTACATGTGCCCACCACCACACTGAGCTAATTTTTTGTATTTTTAGTAAAGATGGGATTTCACTGTGTTAGCCAGGATGGTTTTGCTCTCCTGACCTCGTGATCCGCCCGTCTCGGCCTCCCAAAGTGCTGGGATTACAGGCTTGAGCCACCGCGCCCGGCCAATTTTTTTGTATTTTTAGTAAAGATGGGATTTCACTGTGTTAGCCAGGATGGTTTTGCTCTCCTGACCTTGTGATCTGCCCGCCTCGGCCTCCCAAAGTGCTGGGATTATAGGCGTGAGCCACTGCTCCGGCCTTTTTTTTTTTTTTGATATGGAGTCTCACACTGTCACCCGGGCTGGTGTGCAGTGGTGTAATCTCGGCTCGCTGCAACCTCCACCTCCCAGGTTCAAGTGATTCTCCTGCCTCAGCCTGCCAAGTAGCTAGGATTACATGTGCCCACCACCACACTGAGCTAATTTTTTGTATTTTTAGTAGAGACAGGGTTTCACTTTGTTGGCCAGGCTGGTCTCGAACTCCTGACCTTGTGATTTGTCTGCCTCGGCCTCCCAAAGTGCTGGGATAACAGGCGTGAGCCACCGCACCTGGCTGGCAAGTTCTCTTGAAGGTTAGATCCAAGTGGTGCCCTCCTTGGCCAACACAAAGGGCAAGTCAGATTATTCTAGCCCCGTGTTCCCCAAACGGGTTCCACTAAACACCAGTCTTTTGATACGCTCTGTGAGAAAAGCAAGAGTGTCATGTTCAAAGCATTGGGAGATGTCACTGGGTATTCCCCTTTCTTTGAAATCCCAAAGTCATGAAGGAGAGAGACCAAAGTTCCAGAATGGCATTGTCTCTTCGTATGTGCAGGGCTAGGGTTGGGCTGGGCTCTTTTGCATGTCATTGTCTGCTCACAGCAACCAGGGAAGAGACTAGGTTGAGTCTCCATTTATTAGTCAAGGGAACTGAGGCTCAGAGGGGCTCATTAAATAGCCACGATCAGCCGGGCATGATGGCTCACAGCTGTAATCCCAGCACTCTGGGAGGCCAAGGCCCAGAAGTTCGAGACCAGCTTGGACAACATGGTGAAACCCCATCTCTACAAAAAGTACAAGGATGGTTAGCCCAGCATGGTGGTGTGCACCTATGGTCCCAGCTCCTTGGGAGGCTGAGATGGGAGGATTGCTTGAGCCTGGGAGGCAGTGGTTTCAGTGAGCCAAGATTGCACCACTACTCTCTAGCCTGAGTGGCAGAGCGAGACCCTGTCTCATAAAAAAAGAAAAAAGCCAGGCGTGGTGGGTCACGCATGTAATCCCAGCATTCTGGGAGGCCGAGGCAGGCAGATCATGAGGTCAAGAGATCAAGACCATCCTGGCCAACATGATGAAACCCCGTCTCTACTCAAGATACAAAAATTAGCTGGGTGTGGTGGCATGTGCCTGTAGTCCCAGCTACTCGGGAGGCTGAGGCAGGAGAATCGCTCGAAACCGGGAGGCAGAGGTTGCAGTGAGCCAAGATCGCGCCACTGCACTCCAGCCTAGCGACAGAGCAAGACTCTGGCTCAAAAAAAAAGAAAAAAAAAAAAATAGAGATGTGGCCAAGCCACACATCCACACTCCCGAGATCAGTGTTCTCTCTGTGGCCCCACTTTCTGCAGGAGAAGGAATACGGGGGTGGAGGCCATGAGAGGATTTGCCCCAGAAGGGCCTGCCTGCTAGTTTACAAAATGACACTGCATATTTGTTTCCTTAGGAAGGTCATGGTCAAGTTAACCACCAAGACAGTGATTGTTTCTGCTCTCCTGCCTGGGGCCTGTACTTTCCCTGAGCATAAGTTGGGATGTTTTCCAACCAAAGAACTCAGAACTCGGCCCTCCCCGAGACCTGTGAAGAACAGGAATGGAGGAGCCATGGATCTGAAGGCTCTACGACTCAGCAGGAGCTAAGCTTGCGTTCGGCACATGGGATCAAGCCCTAACAGCACCACTTTTTTTTGCCGTATGTGGCCTTGCCCTGCATGCAGCTCTGAGGCTGGGCTCTTATGAAATAGGAGATAGAACCCTTCCTCCTTCCTCAGAGGTTGTCCTGGGAGAGCTTGGCCGGTAGGAGTGCTGCATGCACCTTCCCACCTGCTGCAGATGCAGTGGCTCGAGTAAATCACTGCGCCCCACCTCCCAAGCCCTCCTCTGTGCAGGAAGCAGCCCAGGGCAGGGACAGGGTGGGAGCTACCCTTGATGGCCCAGTGTTCTGGGCCTAGTGCTGACGCCAGAGGTGTTCTCTCCCCTACTGTAGCAGTGTACAAGTGAGGAGTGAGGTCTTGACGGGCGAGAGAAGTGCAGCCCGGAGTCACACAACCAGGGGTAGGCTGAGGTGGTGTCAGCCCAATCCTTTTTTTTTTTTTTTAAGAGACGAGTTTCACGCCATTGCCCAGGCTGTAGTGCAGTGGCATGATCATAGCTCACTGCAGCCTTGAACTCCCAGGCTCAAGTGATCCTTCCATCTCAGCCCCCTAAGTAGCTGGGACCATGTGTGTGCCACAATGTCCAGCTAATTTTTTTTCATTTCTTTTCTTTACTTCTTATTTTTTTAATGATGGGGTCTTGCTCTGTTGCCCAGTCTGATCTTGATCTCCTAGACTCAAGCAGTCTTCCCACTTTGGCCTTCCAAAGTGCTGGGATTATAAGCGTGAGCCAATGTGCCCAGCCCAAGCAAGCTCTTAACTGCTTTGCTGTTCACATGGGAGATCGTTAGGACCTAAAACCTCATTTCAGAGAGAGCCTACCAGAGGCTGGAGAGGGGGAGTGATGGCTGGAGTCAGCCAAATCAGGATTAGAACCCAGGTGGTGTGCTCTAGAGGCCTGTGCTGACTGTTCAGCTCATCAGAGTTGGGTTTGGGGAGCTTTGTTCGGAGTGACATGCCAGTATCTGTTGTGAGGGACTGTGGCGCTTGGGCTCTGACTGCCTGTTCCTGGCACTGTGGACCTGCGTGCAGGTGTAACTACTAAATAGATCTGGTGTAGAGCAGCCAGCTGAGGCCCACGTGTGTTCATGGTCTGCCTTACTGGTGGATATGCGGATTTGTCTGCAAAAACCAGCTTCCTTAGTATGTAAGGTGGGAGTGGATCCCTTGATCCCAGGAGTCTGAGATACGCCTGGACAACATAGGGAGATTCCCAACTCTACAAAAGATACAAAAGTTAGCTGGGTGTGGTGGTACACACATGTAGTCCCAGCTACTTGGGAGGTTGAGGTGGAAGGATGACTTGAGCCTGGGAGGTCGAGGCTGCAGTGAGCCGTGTTTGCACGGCTATGCTCCGGCCTGAGCAATAGAGTGAGACCCTGTCTCAAAAAATAAGGGAGGGCTGGGCACGGTGGCTCTCATGCCTGTAATCCTAGCAGTTTGGGAGGCTGAGGCAGGTGGATCACCTGAGGTCAGGAGTTCGAGACTAGCCTGGCCAACATAGTAAAACCCCATCTCTACTAAAAAAAAAAAAATACAAAAATTACTCTGGAGACAGAGGCAGGAGAATCACTTGAACTTGGGAGGTGAAGGTTGCAGAGAACCGAGGTCACACCATTGTACTCTTAGCCTGGGCGACAAGAGTAAAACTCTGTCTCAAAAAATAAATAAATAGATAGATAGATAAAATAGGCCAGGCGCAGTGGCTCATGCCTGTAATCCCAGCGCTTTTGGAGACTGAGGTGGGTGGATCACCTGAGGTTGAGAGTTCAAGACCAGCTTGACCAATATGGCGAAACCCCATCTCTACTAAAAATACAAAAAATTAGCCGGGCGTGGTAGCAGGTGCCTGTAATCCTAGCTACTTGGGAGACTGAGGCAGGAGAATCAGTTTAACCCAGGGGCAGAGGTTGCAGTGAGCCGAGAATGTGCCACTGCACTCCAGCCTGGGCGCGACAGGATGAGACTCTGTCTCAAAAATAAATAAATAAATAAATAAATAAATAAATAAATAATAAAATAAGGGTAATGGAGGTATCCATCCATCCCCTTAAATATTTATCTTTATGCTAGGAACATTCAAATTATTCTCTGTTAGCTTTTTTTTTTTTTTTTTTTTTTTGAGACAGTCTTTCTATGTCGCACAGGCTGCTTTGCAGTGGCGCAATTTCAGCTCAGCACAACCTCTGCCTCCTGGGTTCCAACGATTCTCATGCCTCAGCCTCTTGAGTAGCTGGGACTACAGGTGTGCGCCACCACGCCCGGCTAATTTTTATGCTTTTACTAGAGATGGGGTTTTGGCATGTTGGCCAGGCTACTCTCGAACTCCTGACCTAAGGTAATCTGCTTGTCTCCGCCTCCCGAAGTGCTGGGATTATAGGTGTGAGCCACCGCTCCCGGCATCTTCTAGCTATTTTGAAATGTATAATAGATTAATGTAAACGATAGTTACCCTGTTGACCTATTGAACACTAGGTCTTATTTCTTCTAACTTTATACTTGTCTCCATTAATTAACCTTCAGTCTCCCCTCCCTCTAACCTTCCAGGCCTCTGGTAACTACCAATCTACTGTCTTCATGAATTGCTTAATACTTTCTTTAAATCATACCAGGAGTGGTGTCACATGCCTGTAATTGCAGGTACTCTGGAGGCTAAGGTGGGAGGGTCGCTTGAGGCCACTAGGTCAGGGTTACTGTGAGCTATGATTGTGCCACTGCACTCCAGCCTAGGCGACAGAGTGAGAATCCATCTCTTAAAAAAAATGAAAAAAACAGCTAACTTTCATGTAATTTCAAAGCACTTCTATGAATGGAAAGCTGGCATTCCTTACAATAAAGGAAAGAAAATAGTGTTACTGAATTATTGTTTGATGCTGTTGCTATTTAATGACTCTGAGCCTGAGGCCTGTTCTCCCTTTATTAAAAAGTCCCTATCACTATGCTCATTTTTGTATTTTTAGTAGAGATGGGGTTTCACTATATTGGCCAGGTTGGTCTGGAACTCCTGACCTCAAGTGATCTGCCCGCATTGGCCTCCCAAAGTGCTGGGATCACAGGCGTGAGCCACTGGCCCTCAACACGGAATTCTGTGTTGTTTACGTTCGTGTTTCTCTGTCATCCATAACTATATTACACGTCCACGTAGAGGCTTGTATAAGTCAGGGATTTTCCTGACACTTCTGAGCCCCCAATAACCCTTGGAAGCCTCTTGATTTGAGAACAGGACTCCAGGTCCCACCAACTACAGCCAGAATGGGTCCAGCTTTTCACAAACAAAGCTCAATTAAGTCTTGCGGGCTGGGTGTGGTGGCTCACACCTGTAATCCCAGCACTTTTGGAGGCCGAGGTGGGCAGATCACCTAAGGTCGGGAGTTCGAGACCAGCCTGACCAAAATGGAGAAACCTTGTCTCTACTAAAAATACAGAAGTTGCCAGGCATAGTGGCAGATGTCTGTAATCCCAGCTACTCCGGAGACACAGGCAGGAGAATTACTTGAACCCGGGAGGCGCAGGTTGTGGACTCCATCTCAAAAAAAAAAAAAAAGTCTTGCGATGCTCGGGTAGTTCAAATCCACCAGGATGAGGCTTCACTGTAGGCCTCCAGGGGCCTCTCCCACTAACTCTTGTCTTCTTTCCGCCGCAGCGCTGCCACTGGAGCGACATGTTCACAGGGAGGCTGCGGACTGAGATCCCACCAGCGCTGGTAAGCAAACGAGCTGTTCTTCCCCTCCACACACAGGACCCTCTTTGGCAGTTCCCAGGGCTTTTCTCATACTTTATTCTTTCTGGAGCCTAAGATAAGCCCTGTGGGTGATTGAGCTGCTGGAATGGAAGCCTGGCAAGCCCAGCATGTGCCCTGTGTTCTGACAGGAGGGGAGGGTGGGAGCATGGAGACTGACAGGGGAGGAACCCCAAGGGCGGAGACTTCGGGGAGGTGGGAGAGCTGAGACCACACACTCCTGGGTCCTCCTGAGCTGCGTGGTTTGGTTCACTGTGGATTTCACCCCAATACGATGCCCCGCCTTTCCCAGCAACCCCTTCCTGCACCTCACAGTTCTGCTCCTTCGTGACTTCTCTGCACACAGCCCATGTAGCCGTCCCCGTCTTTCTCTGGCTCCTCCCTTTCTCCACGCCACTCTCTGCTTTGGTTTGCTGCCGTCATGGGTGGCTTCCCATTTCCTCATTCCCAGGGCTCAGACTGACTTGCGTTGAGTTTCCAGTCTCTGAGTGCGTGTGTGCGGGTGTGTGGAAGGAAATAGAAAGGGGCAACACAGAAAGGCTTGCCTGGCCGAGGGAAGAGAGCAGGGCTGGCTGTCTCTTCAGGTCGGCAGCCTCTCGGTGTGTCTCCCTGGCACGGGGCTGCACACGGCAGGCCTTGAGGGTGCAGATTTCTGGTCAGTGATGAGTGCGCACACCAATGTTACTGAGCCCCTCACCCTGGTTGTGCCCAGCCTCTTTTTATGTTTTATTTTTAAAATTTTGTTTTATTTTATTTTTGAGATGGAGTCTCGCTCTGTCACCCAGGCTGGAGTGCAGTGGTGCGATCTCAGCTCACTGCAAGCTCCGCCTCCCAGGTTCACACAATTCTCCTGCCTCAGCCTCCCGAGTAGCTGGGACTACAGGCGCCCACCACCACGCCCAGCTAAGTTTTTGTATTTTTAGTAGAGA